TATTGGAGATGGCTGGGAAGCCAACTCATTTTAAGCAAGCGTTAACTAACATTTATAGGCAGGCAAAATTGAGTGACAGACATATGATGAATAAGATACGAAGTGTACACATATGCGCTCATATAAAAAGTACTCAAGGTTAATAAGCAAATGATTAACAAGATCAAAAGATGACTCAATGTACAGGTGAATTGGCTTGGCCAGTAACTAGAATAAAGTATATGGGCCTAACATATGAACTGGTACTACAAGATAGTTATTTTGAAGATGCATCGGCCTCGTGACTTCCAAAAAATATCGGCTTTCATCATGTGACGTCATAATTATTCCTTCAACTCCCAGGGCAGAGTTAAAATGATTTGAATTATTTTTTCTGGTTAGCGTTTTTTTTTTAGCGACTTAGTATTCCACGGGATGGGTTTGCTAACCTCATGCCCAACCCTCCTCCTTTACCCGGACTTGCGAACGGCAGTAATTCTAGAAGAGCTACAGGCGTAGTTAGGAAGTTATTTTACCCTGATATTAATTACTAAACACGATAGAATATTTACTGTGTTTAACTTTCAATAAGTGTGCCTAATTTATATATTGACTAACTAAGAATTTCTTTATGAGTAAGGGTTCGCGATTTCCCATGGTTGACTATAGGAAATGCAAATGATCAGTTTCTGTTCCTATAATTGAATTGTGACCAGATTAATTCAGTATAACATTACGTCATCAACTTTAGTATATTACATAAATTGTAAACCCTTAATAATATCTTCACTCCTTTGGAATGGTTAATTACTGTGTAGACTCTGTAGCCCAATGGATGATGCTTTATGCGTATGAAGAGAAAAGTACTAGGTTTGAGCATCAGTGAAAATATGAATATTGGGAAAAACAGGTTTTGGATAAGACTAAATAAGGATCCTAGATTCCACTAGTAGCTATATAATTAACGTATTACAATTGTAGTTATGTTGTACTTTATACACTGAATACATAGGGAAACATAGGCTTACCTTCAAGAAATTTTAGTTAACATTGTTTGGACTGTTGTACACCCATATGAAGTGACTTACATTAAGTCACGAAAAGTCAGAAATAAGATTTTTTCACTCATTGTGATATAACAAAAAATACATACAACTAGGTCCTAGGCAATCATTTTCAAATCTTCTCAGCTGTTGTTCATCCTTTTAATGGCCGATTCAAATTCTCAAAGCAGTGTGTTCTTTGGTCATCAACTTATCCGTTAAACATCACGATCCCATGTTAGAGATTGTCACGTGATGCAGATTGATGATTTCTCAAGTATCTGTCAATATCCACTTATAACATCTTTTCATAATTTCCTGCTCAGTTACAATCTATTTCGTTATCTTTCTTAGTAGACTGTTACTGATGTTATCTGGTCAACGAACATTCAATATATTACGCAAACAATTGTTTATAAGTACTTGTACATTATTGATGAAGATTGTAGTAGTTCTCGACGTGTTTCAGCTCCATATAATAGAACTGTCTTGTTGTTCACATTGAAGATTGTAACTTTGGTATTGGTTAACAGTTGTTTTGTGTTCCATATGTTGTTCTCTAACAGTATGAATGTGTTTCTTACTTTGTCAATCCTTGCCTTTATGTTTGCATTGGATCTTTCTTGTCAATCGATGATGCTGTGAAAGATTTTATATCTTTCATAGATGTGTATATATTTAAAGAATACTTTCATCTTAAACTGGATTCGAATAAGCAAATAAAGAAGACTAACAGAATACTAGAATAAGAAAATTCTACATGTCATTCAATACACGTTAACATTGCATACAGACATTTCTATACAAGATCAAATAAATGTTCATCGTATTTTGTCGATAAACATAGAACAAGTCAATCACTTATTCAATTCTGATGGATTGCAAATACTAAATTTAGTCATGCATAAATGTATCTGATCAATATCTTCAATAGGCTATTAATATATATTTTTTTTTTTATAGTTAAGATCATGAGTCAATTGAGGCTAGGCCACCATCGAAAACCTGGAAGCACTGGACGGCCGTTTCGTCCTATTATGGGACTCCTCAGCAGTGCGCATCCACGAACCCGCTCTCGCGAGATTCGAACCCAGGACCTACCAGTCTCGAGCCGGAGCCCTTAACCGATAGACCACTGAGCTGGCATCCAACGGTGTTAATATATTCTTAATTTTTCCAGTTACAGAGTTTGTGAATACACTGTAAAGAATGTAGAAATTTATCTTATGGCTAGTCATAAGATAGCAACCCGGACATTGGATTGATTAAGTACTAGTATAAATGTTTACAGATTATGAAGAGAATACGTTTGACTCATTTACATCAGTCTTCACACTATTGTAGCCATATACACGTTTATAAAACTATAATAAACTATTTGAAAAGTCTCTTATCTTTACTAGATGTAGTATAACGTTGAAACAAGTCAAAACAAGCTATAAGTTATACCCAGTCATTGAAAACACCTAAACCTATCAAAGTATATGGTTAAACATTTATCAAAATTCAATACTTAAGCTAAGTAATCTCTTTTACCTTTGTTAATAAATAAGAGCAACATCGGTGTTGTTTAAATTTTCAGTAGTCCCAGAGTGAACATCAACTCTGAGATGCAGGTACATCCAGCTGATGAGTCTTAAATAGGAAGAAACTCGCGTGAAACTGGATTCCACTGCTAGACACTATCTATCTTTGCTTATCATGCTTGTGAATTAAGGCTATATTGAGGCAATACACATAGTATGCACATATGGCCAATTAGTGACTGACCAGTTGCAGTCCTAACACATTGATGGGAAGATTCAAACAAACAATACTCTAGTGAATTCATTTTGTACACAACTTTACAGATTATTAATCTCATCGAGTAGTAACATAGATTCAATTCATTCTTAATTATGAAGAGTTAATTGACTACTTATCAATGACTTAATAAATAGACTTTACAAATAATTCAGAAAGGGTTTTCTGAAGATTTCAGTATTTGCATAGTTGAAATCATGAGTCATTTGAAGCTAGACCACCATGAAAAACCTGGAAGCACTGAAAAGCCGTTTCGTCCCATCATAGGACTCCTAAACAGTGCACATCTACGGTTCCTCCTCGCGAGATTCAAACTCAGGACCTACCAGTCTCGCAATTTCATGACTTCAATTATGAAAAATATTGAAATCTCCACAAAACCCCTTCTGATCTATAATCATATGCTCACTAGTGACTGACTTCAAGGGATGATTCCTTGAGTTATAGTGGGAAGCAATGAGCAGTGGAGTTCAACCACGTCTTTTATAGAGATATCAACTCACTGAAGACAATTGGTAAACGGTTGCTCAAAATTCCTGGATTGGTTAAAGTTAGACATTAACACTGTCGGATACCGGCTCAGTGGTCTATCGGTTAAGTGCTCTGGCTCGAGACTGGTAGATCTTGAGTTGGAATCTCGCGAGTGCGGGATCGTGAATGCGCTCTGATGAGTAGTCCCATAATAGGACGAGTTGGCCGTCCAGTGTTTCCATGTTTTACATGATGGTCTAGCTTCAATTGACTCAATAATTCAATTATAATTAATTATCAAAAATGACCATGATTCTGGGTATATTAAAGAAACTTCGACTTAAAAAACAGCAGACTTAAAGACTACTAACAGTACTAACAAGGATAATGCCTATATACGTTGTATATAAATGAGATACGATATCTGAAACCGGCATTTGAAGTCTTTGAGTAAGACTTTCTTCTGTACTGAAATGTCTTTTA